GACCATCTCTTAAAAATTTTGATTCTTAAGTACCACTAAGTAGTTACTTAATCTGAATTTCTAGGAGTCGGACCCTCAAAATTATGAGTTTACCAGACTCCCCTGATATTTATTAAACTCGTTTTTGGGAGCCACTGGGCTAGAAAATCTAGTGTTGAAGATGGATTTTGTAAACCCACTCCATCAGTCAGGGTTTGGTTGCAGGTAACAGAAACCACTCTAGCTATTTTAAGCAGAAAGGGATGTAATACAGGGAATTAAGTACTTAGAAAAATTATTGTAAGATCCAAATGAGCAAGATGTAGGTGGGCTTTCAGGAATGACTTCCAGAACACCATCACCACAGAACTGACCCACAGGTGGCACTACTACAGCTGCCACATTCAGGAAGATGAGGAGTTCAGAACAGTTAGCTCCAGGAACTTATTCCATTAGCTGTGATCCAGGGATTAAGAAGCTGCAGAGTTACAATGCACCTGTCAAATCTGCACTGGAAAAAACAAATGTCCTGCACCTACAAAGCTACTGAATACTGGGATCTCCTCTCCCATTGCTGAAACAAGTATGCGCATGTGGACTTGCACATGGGTGTGCTTGCACACACACACACACACACACACACACACACACACACACACTCTCACACTCTCACACTCTCACTCACTCCACCACCCCAGTGAGTCATGCAGGCTTCACCTTTCAAACTTCAATGGGTACATCTAACTGACAAAATTTAAGTTGAATCCAGAATCTTAGCTTCCTAAGAATTTTATTTTTAGCTTTCTAACCTCTCCAGTATCGGAAAGGACACTAGGAGAATGGATTAGATGTTGAGAGCCAATCCGTTACAACCACCACAAGCATTTACTAAATAAATAAATGCTATGCTGGCATTGCGTGCTCCATGTTTCCCAGAAATTCCCCAGTCAACTTTTTGTCATTCTCCACAGCAACTATTTTCTCCCTTCATTATCTCTAATTCCTCGTCCCTCATTCCCTCCCAAATCTACTGCCATCTGACTTTCATCCCCCACCATGCCTCTAAAGCCTCCTTACAAGATTACAAATAGCCTCTTCTGGCTAAATCCAATCAATCAATTTGTCTTCATCTTCATTTATCTGCAGCATTTAGCAGTGTTTACCATTTCTTCTTTCTCCAACCTCTCCTATTCCTTAGCCTTCATAACACCGTACTCCCTCTTTGACTGTGTTGTGCCGTCTTGGTGTCCTTGTCATCTTTCTCTCCTTTTTGCTTAAATGGTGGTGTTTCTCAAGGTTCTCTTCTGGGCCGAGTAATCTCATCCACTCCAGTGGCTTTAATTAGCATATCTTTGCTAATGACTCTGAAGTTTCTCTTTCTGGTGAATATCATATACAAATGCCAAATGTCTCTTTTTGGACACCCTACAGACACATCAGGCTTAACATGTTCAGAAATGAACTCATCATCTTCCCCTCAAAGCTACCCTCCTCCTACATTTCCCATTTCAGTGAATGACAGTACCATATGCCTAGCTGCCCAACCCAGGAGTCCAAGGGTAATTTTAGACTCCTCTCTCTTACTCATTCCCCACACACAAGTCCTATTTATCTAGTCTCTTAAATTTGTCATATCTGTCTAATCTTTTTACTGCTACTATCTCAGCCCAGGCCACCGTTAATCTTCCACCTAGATTACTTCAGAAGCCTTTTACTGGCTTACCTTGTCCTTATCCAAAATATTCTCTGTATTGCAACCAAAGTAAATATTATAGTTGTTTGATTTTCTATGTCCCCACTAGAATGTAAGCTCTATGAGAAAGAAATCATGTCTTTTTTGTTATATCCCCAGAAGTATTCAGACAGTAACACTGAAGAATCATTTGTTCAATCAAAGAAGGATGATGAGAAAAAAGAAAAGAATGATTTCCACTGGGGAGGTTATTAATGAGTTGATATCTTCAGAATTTTTGTTATATTGAAGAGGTTGGTAAGAGAGAGCAGTTAAATATGAAGAAGAGTTTGTTCATCAAAAATAGAATTCCACAGAGTACAGTGGATAGAAGTAGTAGCAAGACTGTAGAAATTTGCTTAAAGCAGAGCTCCTTAACTTGTATGCCATGTGGCATACTGGTGTACTACAAATGAGTTAGAAACCAGACAGGAATTGAGTCACCTGTATTCAAACCTAGGTCTGTCAGATCCTAAAACTCAAGTTCTTTCTAGTAAATCCTGTTGCCTCAAAAATCCAGTGATTTTGACATCTGATGTCATTAGTGTTATTGGGCTTTCATTTTAAATGTTCTTAAGAGGAAACCCAAAGATATACATTACAATTTTATAATTATATTTTTATGTAGAAGTCCCTGGGTGGTGAAAAGAATTAATACACTCAGCTGCTAATCAAAAGGTTGACAGTTCAAGTCTACCCAGAGGCACCTTGGAAGAATGGCCTGACAGAAAAAATCAGCTGTTGAAAACCCTGTGGAGACCAGTTCTACCCTGACCCCATGGAGTTGCTATGTGTCGAGTTTGACTTGATGACAACTGGTGTATTTTTATATAATATTCTTATATACCAATTTAATAATGTACTTCTCTTTTGATATTATCATTAAATGTGTTGTATATAATGAACTTATGTTTCTAGAATCAGTTTGCTGTATACCTGTGATAAAACCAAAAAACCAAACCCATTGCCATAGAGTTAATTTCGACTCATAACAGCTCTATAGGGCAGAGCAGAACTGCCCAATAGAGTTCCCATGGAGTAGCTGGTGGATTCAAACTGCCAAGCTTGTTGCTAGCAGCCAAGCTTTTAACCACAGCACCATCAGGGTTCCTATACCTGTGATAGGCTTTCTGGTAAGTGTTTGTAAGTTATACATAAGGTTGCCATGAGTCAGAATCGACTCAACGGCAACTAGCAACAGTGTTTTAATTGGGTTTTATAGTTAAGAGCTCCACAGCTAGCCAAAAGGTCGGCAGTTCGAATCCACCAGCTCTCCTTGGAAACCCTATGGGGCAGTTCTTCTCTGTCCTGTATGGTCACTATGAGTCGGAATTGACTTGACAGCAACTGGTTTGGGTTTTTTTGTTTTTGTTTTTTTTATAAGGTTCCACTTCTTTAGTCCTTATCTGAAAAACTCAATTCTTTAAATAAATAAAAGAAGCAATTTTGAGGTTCATCTTTATCAATTATAATCATTTCAAAATTTGTGTATTTTTTGAACCTTTAGGATTTCAGATGAATTGATGAATTCATATTTTAATTATAAAAGCATCTAAACAACAGTTTACTTTATATAAAAGTCTTTACTTCCTCTTTAGAAAGTTTAAAACATTTTTTCCTTAATATTTAAGGTCAGCAAAGGAGGCAGAAGACAAAATCAAAAAGGCAATAGAAAAGGGAGAAACTCTTCCTACAGAGGCCCGATTTGATTCCAACTGCATTACACCAGGTAAATTCAGTGAGAGGAAAATTCTGAGAGCTTCAAAATGTAAATTGAAAATTTATTTTTTGAATGTATTTTTCTTTTCTAGACTCTGTTTATTTTGGCCTTTGGGTTTTATTTGTTATATTTTCCCAGTTGTGTCTCTCCTAATGAGATGGTTTGGTCACCTTGGTCCTAAGTGCTCCTATACAACCCCACTGTAGGGATTTACAGATGGTGATAAGAGCAGCTGTGGACAGGACTCTCCCAGATAGATGATGGAAGTTTCAAGATCATTCCATCCTGCTCCTGCTTTTTATTGGTATGAAAAAACAGACTTAGCGAGGCTGTGGCTCACCCAGGTTCATTTCACTAGCTTGTGGTGTACAGGATGAGAAACCCATTCTGGACCAGAGCACTGACTACTCTCAGAGACAGGATTTCTGTGACTTTAAAGACAAGTGAATTTATCAATATCATAAGTTTAATTTTATATGTAACGACATACTCCACACTTCAAGGAACTTTGTCTAACATCATTATAACTTTTTCCTATGTAAAAAAAATCTTAAGATCTTACTTTCTCATGAATTCTTTAATAACTACAGTAATTTTCTCTTTCATTCACTGCCCTAGTCACACATTGCTCAATTTAATAACCAGTTTGTCATGATTATAATTTAAGACTGTTACTTTGGACTGTTGGCCATTTGGGCTTTTTCTCAAACATAATCATTCTAGACTCAGTTTCCAGATTAATAATAATTTTTTAGATTAATAGTAATTTAATAATAATAACAGTAACAACAACTATTATTACTGTTGACAATCTGATTGAAGCTGCATGCCTTAAAGAAAACCTTCAGGATCCATCAGGCAAGAAATAGAAGGTTGAGGTTTACTAGAGTTGAAACTCTACCCTTGTGTGAAAATACTTAAAGCACAGTCCTGAGATAGTAGTAACATTTCTTGGCTTTCCCTCTGTCTTTGTCTTCATTTTAGGGTAACCAATGAAATTAGAAACTGTTGTGATATTTGCTAGGAGAAAAGTACATTACTTGATTTTCAGGATAAGCAACAGAGCTTTTGACCTTCTCTGGAAATCTTATACTTAGCTATTCCCTGAATACCCAGATAAAATTTTGTTTTGTCACTGGGAACTCACTGTTTTTATGTCTCTCTCAGGTGAAACTTTTTAAAACTTTTTATTTATAGGGACTGAATTCATGGCCAGGTTACATGAACATCTGAAGTATTTTGTAAATATGAAGATTTCCACAGACAAGTCATGGCAAGGAGTTACCATCTACTTCTCAGGCCATGAGGTTATTTATTTATTTATTTTTATTTAAACAGCTTTTCTAAATTTAATATTCTGAACTATCACATATTATCACATTTTTTTTTAAACATTATATTCAGACTCCTGGAGAAGGAGAGCACAAAATCATGGAATTTATCAGATCCGAGAAAGCAAAGCCAGATCATGATCCAAATACCAGACACTGTCTTTATGGTTTAGATGCTGACTTGGTAGGTATAATGTTTATTGTTATTATAATTTTATGCTATTATAGTTAAATATCTAAGAGCTTTAGTCTTGTACAGAAAGCTTACTGACTGTGACAATGGATATTGGAGACATAATAATGATTACTGTTTCTGTTACTACCAAAGTTCTAAAAAACAATTGGAAAATGAGCTGTTTTGCCATATTTTAGGATCAGTAGGTCTCTATAGTGTCTGCAGACCTGACTAACCCCAGTGCTATTATGAATACTCTGCTGAGGTCAGGGAAGGAGGCCCTTTTTATCCTCATGCTTAGTATGTGCCTTTTAATACCACATGATATGAAGACCCTGTGACTGAAATAACTTTACTAGACTTTTTTTTTTATTGTTGTCTTCGTCTTAACTTTTTATTATGGCAATTTTTCAAGCATCAGCAAAAACAAAAGATAGTATAATGAACTCCTTGTGCCTTGCATCCACCTTAAATAATTTTCAACTCCTATCCCTAACCATCCATCCATTTCCATCCCTACCCCTAGATTATTAAAGCAGAGCCCAGATATTATATCATTTAATCTATAAAATCTATAAATATTTAATAAAATTTCTCTAAAGGAGAAGGATTTCTTTTTTTTAATATAACGTCAGTGCCATTATCTCACATAAAACAAAATTAACAATAATTCCTTAATAGATAAACAAACAGTTATATTCTAATTTCTCTGATTGCCTCTTAAATGTTTTCTTGTTTGAATCAGGATTGAAATAAACAGTATACATTGCAGTAGGTTGATAAGTCTTACTAGTCTATTTTGACTTATTTTGGGACTGAGAATGATACGGGAGAAAATTAACTAAAAATGCCCTTTTCTGGTTTTTTCTGAGTGTTCATATACTGGAGGTATCCTGACCTCCAGAAGAGTCCTACGTTCTTCTGTCATAGGGAAGCTGCTACCTCTCATTTCTAACCCGTTTTCCTATGCAAGTGGAAATATGTGAAAACCAAGAGGTTTTGGGGATTTTGGAGGGGTGAGGAGGGTCAAGGAGGTGATTATAAAGACCATGTGAGTCTAAGGTGATCATTTTTTCCTTATTAAAGTACACTCACTTTACCCCATTTATAATGTACAAATGGATCATATTTTGGTATTTGTTTATTTAACGTGCTAACAAGTTGTATCTTTATTGCCCTTAAATAAGCATGTTCTGCTCTATATAGAAATGTTTTTCATTTGATTTCTTTGTGAACTACATACTATAAAAACTGGTAGAATAAAAACATTTTTTAATCATTTTTCAACAGATTATGCTTGGGTTAACAAGTCACGAGGCTCATTTCTCTCTTTTAAGAGAAGAGGTTCGGTTTGGTGGCAAAAAAACACAAAGGTAAATTGTACTTGCATATACGTTGGAAGAAAGAACAGAAATTAAGCTGTTATCTTAAAAGAGATTGATTTTCTCTTACTACTTAGAGCTTGTTTGCTTTGCCCCTTCCCCACCAAAGCATATATTTACCTTGTAATTATTTTCAGTAATCAGGATGTTGACAGTTTAACTTAGTTATTTAATTGTATTTGAACAAATGCAAATTAAACGTTAGCAAACTTTATCTTTCAGAGAACTAACTACTTTTTTTTAATCATTTCAGAACTTGATTTATATTTCTGGCTTTCCTGGATCATGACTGCATTCTGACATAGATGCAGTTCACTCAGCTTATATTATTTATGGTTTAACTTGGAGTGTAGGCCAAGAGCCAGAAATATATAAACCTTTGCCCTGGTGGCACAGTGGTTAAGAGCTCAGCTGCTAACCAAAAGGTCGGCTGTTGGAATCCACCAGCCGCTCCTTGGAAACCCTATGGAGCAGTTCTACCCTGTCCTCTAGAGTCGCTATGAGTTGGAATCGACTCATCGGCATCGGGTTTGATTATATCAAGCCAGAGAAAGCTAAGTGGAAGAAGTGATAGCACCTTACCATTTTAGCCCTAGACTATACTCCAGTGGATATTAAAGTATATACTCACTCATCTATCCGTTTTCTGATGGGTGGCCTTAAATGAGCCAGATCCCACTGGTTTCTTACATCTCATACATATTATTTAGGATTTCTTCATTCTGAGAGTCCTCTTCCACAGGAAGCATAATGTAAACCAGTTATTTTTAACTTATTATGTTTTTATCTATTATAATTTCAATTATATTTTTATCATTACATTACCACTGCAGGTTTCATATAAATTACATGTCTTCTTCTAATAATAATTTTGACTTTAAGTTTAGCTACATTTTTAAACTTGGGCCTTAAGAATATAATTAACTCTGTCATCTCACTAATTACAGGGTATGCGCACCAGAAGAAACCACATTTCACCTCCTGCACTTGTCTTTAATGAGAGAGTATATTGATTATGAGTTTTCAGTATTAAAAGTGAGTATTAACATAGCTGTGGACCAGAGATAGGTTTGTAGAAATTTCTATAGGATGTAACTTTTTTCTCCGTTTTGCTATAGGACAAGATCTCATTTAAATATGATATTGAAAGGATAATAGATGATTGGATTTTGATGGGATTTCTTGTTGGCAATGATTTTATTCCTCATCTACCTCATTTACATATTAATCATGATGCACTGCCTCTTCTTTATGGAACATATATTACCATCCTGCCAGAACTTGGGGGTAAGAAAATTTTAACAATATTCATTTGAGGCCACTTTAATTTAGGACTTGACTAATTTTAAAAATGTTACTCATTTTATTAGATTATTGTATAATAATTGGAGCTAAAATAGGAGAAAATTTGAGATTTCTTTTGATCTAAGGTACCAAGCTCTGAGGTTGAGATTTTCAGTGACTCACAGACAATGAAAGTGACCAGAGTTAAGTAACCTCACTTACTGATACCTAACTAATCTCTGCCTTTAATTCCTTAAGAAACCCAGCAGAAGTTGTTGGTTGGGTCCAATTAGCTCCTTTCACAGCAAAGAATAAAAATTCCAGTTTTATGAATAGATAAGCATCAGAGTGTTCAATAGGAAGGAGAGATTTTGAAATTAAAATGAAATTGATGAGCAGAGATGCTGCTTTAGGAGGAAGTTTGTTAACTGGTGAAGCTGACTAAAACAGACAACAGAGTAGCAGCACATTAGTCCTTTCCTTCTCAAGTTAACATATCAAATCAAATGATCTAGGTATGCTCTAGAGCAGATTTAATTTAACTGTTAACAAATGTTTTTGGATATGTGGGAGGATTATTATTACGTGAACCTGGAATTTGTTTTATTTTGCTTCATTGCTTACATATTATATATTATGGCAATGCAACATTTCACAGAAACTTGGGCCAGTCACATAGCCCACCACTGAGTATTTTTTCTTGATTAGTGGAATGTCAACATTCAACATTTTATGAAAAGAGTTTGTAGAATTGTTTAGAAAAAAAATGTAAAATTTTGGTACAAATTTAGATTTTGTTCTTTTTAGGTTATATCAATGAAAGTGGGCATCTCAACTTACCTCGATTTGAGAAATACCTTGTAAAACTATCAGATGTAAGTAACTAGAAGCTTTTGTTTTCCTCTTCCAGGATAGCTGTAGATGGTTAGGAACCGAAACCATGATAATAGAAGAAAAGGCTTTTATAATTCTGTTCCAGTTGCTCATTCTGTATAATTTCACCTAAATTATTTATGTGTTTATTTGCTTTGGTTTATTATTATTATTTTCAAAGTAATAGATGAGGTAGGTCCCCATGGTATAGAAGGTCCCTGGGTGGTACAATGGTTTGTGCTTTACTACTGACCTAAAGGTTGGTGATTCAAACCTACCCAGCGGTAGCATGGAAGAAAGGACTGGTGATCTGCTTCATAAAGATTACAGCCAAGAAAACCCTATGGAGCAGTTCCACTCTGTAACACATGGGGTCACCGTGAGTTGGAATCAATGACAATGAGTTTGGTTTCAGTGTTTGGTTTTCTGTATGTATAAAAGTATAATATATCCCTATTTCCTATGCCCTGGAAGTAATCACTGTTAAAACGTTCATTTGTGTTCTTCCAGACATACTTAAATTATTTTTAAATGGGTTTTAAACGTTTCTGTACAGTTTGATCGTGAGCACTTCAGTGAAGTTTTTGTGGACCTAAAGTGGTTTGAAAGCAAAGTTGGTAACAAGTACCTCAATGAAGCAGCAGGTGCCGCAGCAGAAGAAGCCAAGAACTACGAGGAAAAGAAAAAATCAAAGGTGTCCCATTTTAGGTGTCCTTTCATATTTTTAGCTGTAAAGGGAAAACTCATACTCCTCTTTCTCACATTTCTTCTTAGGATTTTGGGTTCGCCTCATTTCACTTTCATCTTCTCTATGGACATTTAAAAAGTTTTGGTCTCCTTTTCTCCGTTCAGTCCTGTCATTCAAACCCACTCTTTAAAATCAGTTTCTTGTTTTTACTCTTGAAGAACATTGTGTTTTCTTTTTCAAAGGCTAGAAAAATAGTTATCTTTTAAAAACAATTGTCCAGAAACACACTGTTTAAAAAGAATGGCCTAGTTTCTTAATGTAGATATTTACAACATTTAATGTTGTGTAAGACATTAACTAGATCAATGATTTTTCTCTAAAAATGATTTATATATATAATTATATATAAAATACAGGGATATGCTAGGTTAAACAGAAACCCTGGTGACGTAGTGGTTAAGAGTTCAGCTGCTAACCAAAAGGTCGGCAGCTCAAATCCACCAGGCACTCCTTGGAAACCCTATGGGGCAGTTCTACACTGTCCTGCAGGGTCACTATATGTCAGAATCAACTCGATGGCAATGGTTTTTTAATGGGCTAGGTTAAATGTAATTAATAGCATTACATAGTAAATGGTGCTTAATAAATGAATAATAATTTATGCTAGTGTCCTGCAAAACATCTCTTATAAGCACTAAGGAATATCTTATTTGTGTAAGTTGGAAAATAAATCTCTTCTGAAATTTTCCTCAGCCTATTTGTAATTATTAGATTTTGGTAAAATTAATGCATTTCCTGCACTTTCTTTCTGTACTAGTTCTACTTAGGTTCATGACTAATAATTCTTACTCTGGGAGGACCAACTATCCTGGTTTTCTCTAGTGCAGCCCTTCTAATTGCTTAGCTCTTCCTTAGTGGAATTTGACAGCAGTCAGTCTGCATTCCCTATGTTTTTCTTTTAAAAAAACAGGCTCTGTAACTTTTTGGGAACCTGAACTCACAAAACATACATGCCAATAATCCTGCTCCCCAAACATTCATGCCAGTAATCCTGACTCCCCCAACTTCATCTCAGTCTTAGATTCACCAGTCTTCTGGCATATGTGGTTATCATTAGACACACTGGTGAAATGAGAGGAACTGCAGGAACAACCCAGGCACAGGAAGTTGACAGAGGCCCTAGACTGGATGAAGAAAAGGAACTGGGGATAAAGGAGTCGTAGGAACTAATGAAAGTCACCGGTAGTGGATAGACAATCAGAAAATAGAAGAGAGAAAGGATGAGATCGTAAGGGAGGAAGAACAGATGGATTTTAAAACTGATAAAAGATAATAAATCATGAGAGTTGATGAAGTGTCTGAGTATGTTTTTATCAGTGCTTTTACTTCAGAGAAAATTAGATTTTGCAGTTCTTTAGAAAACAACATGATTTTGATGATTTAATATTGATTGTATACTTTTCTCTAAGTAATGAAATACTCTTGAAGATTTTTTTTGGAACACACATGTAATTAAATGTACTTCTCTTTTCTATTGGTGAGATTTAATTATTACATATCCTTTAGAGGCCTGTATGTTAAGTTGTAAATCATAAAAACATATAGTTTTAAAAAACAAGTGATCAAAAACCAAAATTTATACATTATTTGAGGATTACTTTAAAAATAAGCTATTACAGATCATTTCAGTTATTTTTAGTATTTTTTAAATCTCCTTGTTAAACATCTTACTTTAAAATAATTCTTACCAGTAATTTTATGTTGATTTATAATTTTTGTAGGGCGAGGAAAACGTCTGTTGGGCTGCTTTAGACAAAAATGAATCTGAAGCAGCAACATCTAAGGGTAAGTACAAACTATATGTATTTTGGTATATGTTATTTCTTTGACAGAATACTTGTTACACCTTTCCTTTATTAGTACTAATTCAATAAAGTTGGATGGAGCAGGTTTCTAAGATAGTTTATAAGCACGTACTTTGATATGCATTTATCAAAGCATTTGATAAAAAAAACAGGATATTCATAATTGTCATTATCTTTCTGCCTTTTTCTCCCAGATAATTTGGAAGATGAGACTGAAGATGATGACCTATTTGAAACTGAGTTTAGACAATATAAAAGAACTTATTACATGACAAAGATGGGAGTTGATGTAGTGTCTGAGTAAGTTTTTGCCAATGCTTTTTACTTTAGAGAAAATTAGACTTTCTTTAGAAAGCAACATGATTTTGATGGGTAATGTGCTAGAAGAGGGCTTTTTTAATTTCATGAATTATTGTAGATATTTCAACTAGCATGGTTTTGGAGAAGATGGTATCTGTGGCATGTGTTATATTCCTGTGATAAAAATTGCCAAACAGAAAATGGTTTGTTTTTTAATTCCCATCTTCTAAAGCTCATGCTGCACTTATCTCAAAGGCCATATGCATCAGCCCCAAGTAATACCTAGTTCAGATACTCCTTAAGAACTTAACCTCTAAAACAGTGGCTTTCAGACTTTTTCTTAAACTGCAACACATAGTATGAAGAACACGTTTGAGTTTTATTTATTTTATTTAAACACTTACATAGTGCTTACCAAATGCCAGGCACTATTCTAATCATTTTAAAAAGAGTAACTCATTTAATTCTAATAACTCTTCGAGTTAAGTAGGATTGTTATTATTTTGCAATTGAAAAACTAAGGAATCGAGAGAGTTAAGTGACTTGCCCACAGGGCTTCGAACGGGTTCGGAACTGTTCAGTAATTGCCAAAGTAAACAAAGGCAGCGGACATGTTGCTTAGCAACCATATCTGTTGCCTGTGGGATTTTTACCCCAAAACAGTGGTGCCCCACTCAAAGGTGGCAACCAATTGTGCTGCTTTGAATGTTTGTCATCCGGACAGTCTGGCCAATAATCCGGTCTCCCACATGGATCCTGAAATTTTCAGGAGCGTGATGCGGGAGATTGCATTATTGGCAGGGCTGTGGAGAGTGACACACATCCAGTGTGGTTGGCCACCATCTTTGAGCGAGGCACCGCTGTTTGTTTCCTTTGTTGTTGTTCAGTGCTGTTGAGTTGGTTCCAACTCATAGTGACCCTATGTGTGACAGAACGAAATACTGCCTGATCCTGCGCCATCCTCACAATCGTTGCTGTGTTTGAGCCCATTGTTGCAGCCACTGTATCGATCCACTCATTGAGGGTCTTCCTCTTTTATGCTGACCTTCTACTTTATGAAGCATGATGTCTTTCTCCAGGGACTGGTCCCTTCTGATAGCATATCCAAAGTACATGAGACAAATTTGTTCATTCTTCTGGCAGTCCACGGTATATTCAGTGTTCTTCACCAACACCATAATTCAAAGGCATGACTTCTTCTTTGGTCTTCCTTATTCATTGTCCAGCTTTCCCATGCATATGAGGCAATTGAAAATACCATGGCTTGGGTCAAACACACCTTAGTCTTCAGAGTGACGTCTTTGCTTTTTAACACTTTAAAGTGGTCTTTTGTAGCAGATTTGCCCAATGCAATACATGTGTTTGATTTCTTGACTGCTGCTTCCATGGGCGTTGATTGTGGATCCAAGTTAAATGAAATCCTTGACAGTTTCAGTACTTTCTCCATTTATTTTGATGTTGCTTATTGGTCCAGTTGTGAGGATTTTTGTTTTCTTTATGTTGAGTTGTAATCCATCCTGAAGGCTGTACTGTAGTCTTCGATCTTCATCAGTAAGTGCTTCAAGTCCTCTTCACTTTCAGTAAGCAAGATTGTGTTATCTGCATATTGTAGCTTATTAATGAGTCTTTCTCCAATCCTGATGACATATTCTTCTTTATATAGTTCAGCTTCTCAAATCATTTGCTTAGCATACAGATTGAATAAGTATGATGAAAGGATACAACCCTGATACACACCTTTCCTGATTTTAAACCACGCAGTATCTCCTTGTTCTGTTCAGGCAACTGCCTACTTGGACCAAAGTCAGATGAGCAGCAGATTTAGTTGCTGTGCAGCGAGTTTGCTGCTCTCGTATACATTGGCAATTACTGAACCCTTCCAAGTCAGTTCGAAGCCCTGCTTGCCCTAAGTGCCATAGCTTGTTACTGGCTGAGCCGTGATTTGAACTCAGGCAGTCTGGCTCCAGATCTTAACCACTAGATAAGGATGCTTCTCTGTAAGTGAAATCAGAGTTTTATGAAGTACTACATATCCTTATCGCTTGCAGTGTACTTGGCTATCATCTATCCTATTATTTTATTTTTTAAATGGTAAAGCATCAGTATTAGATCTACTCCAGTATCTGCCCAGGAGTAGACTCAAGCTTTCAGACATTGCTCTATGAAATATATACTGTCAGACTGTCTTCTAGTCTAGACATAGTCCTTCTGATTGGTCCAGAGACTAGAAGGATAGGAATTTTAGTACAGTTCACCGGCTCATTTGAAGCTTTGTCAGGTACCATTAGCATGCAAGACTTTTTAGACTTGAGAAATATTTTACATAGTTAACACTTTTAATCCTTTATTCATGATTTTTTATACATCCTTGATCACTGTTATATAAACTATAATACCTATAGTTAGCATTAAATTATTAAGATAAGTGACTAATCTTCTGCTTTCTTTCCCTTCCCTTTTATATATTACAATATAGACTTACAAAAATGAGATACCATTTGTCTGCCCAGCAAATTAGTAATTATCCGTTTAAATTGTTATATTCAGTGTTGGTCCAGGAGTCGTGGTAGAGTTCTTCCCTTAATTACTGGTGGGAATATAAATTGGTAAAATTATTTTGTAAAGGACATATTCAGAAGCTTTTAAAATATTCATCCTTTTGTCCCAATACTTCTATTAATCTCTCTTAAAAATGTAAACTCAAATACAGAAGGTTCTTATAAACAAGGATATGTATTACAAAATTATTTGTAAGTAAAAAATTAGAAATAATTGAATGGCCAAAAAGTATTCATCAGAATTGTCCTCATTATCGTCATCGTCATTACAGTCACCATCTCTGCCACCTCCACCATCTCCAGAACCGTTAAACTGATGCTATCAGAAAGTTCATAACAGTTTGCAAAGATGCTTACAGTTTATTATTAAACACAAATTTTAATGATAGTATACAAAATCGTATATGCAGTATACTCTCATTAATGTTTTTTTAAAAAAAAAACCTAGACATAGAAAAAAGACTAAAAAATATACCAAAATGTAATAGTGGCACTATCCTAAACCCAGCGCAGTCGAGTCGATTATGACTTACAACAACCCTATAGGACAGAGTAGAGCTGCCCCATAGGGTTTCCAAGGCTATAAATCTTTATGGAAGCAGACTGTGACATCTTTCTCCCACAGAGCAGCTGGTGGGTTCGAACTGCCAACCTTTCAGTTAGTAGCTGAGCACTTTAACCACTGCATCACCAGGGCTCCCTAAGTTCTGGACACCCACAAAAACCAAACCCATTGCTTTGAGTCGATGCCAACTCATAGCAACCCCACAGGACAAAGTAGAACTGCCTCATAGGGTTTCTAAGGCTAAAATCTTTACCGAAGCAATTGCCACCTCTTTCTTCCATGGAGCAGCTGGTGGGTTCGAACCATAAACTTTTTGGTTAGTTACCAAGTGCTTTAACCACTGTGCCACCAGGACTCCCTTAGTGGTTGCTATAGGGTGATAGAAATACTTCATTATACAGATTTTCAATAATGAGAAATTATTTCTTTTATAATGAAAAAGTAATAAATTTTATTTTGAAAAACATACGTCCCTGAAATATGGAGATATGGAATGTCTTAGTGTATTCCTACCTGAAGTTAGGTAATAGAGACTAACAGGTTAATAGCCACTTTTGGCATTAGCCTAGGCCTGTCTTCTCAGTGATTTGAAGATTTGTTTTACCGAAATGGTATTTGGTCTTTGAGAAAGAAGGTATTAGAGGGAAAATTGTTCAGAGGATAAAGCACTTTTGCAAAGGTCATGTAGCTACTGTAACTAGATTTTAAGATCGTCCTGATTTCCTCTTGTGCTCTTCTCAGGCATCCTCCCCGATAAAGAAGATTACCACTCCCTCTCCCATCACATCCCCACCATTTAGGGGAGTGGTAGTGTTGCTTTATGGAAAACTCACTGGCTAAATCCTCAAACTTTAAACCAAAGGAAAATATATTGACTGAGTAAATATTAACAGCAGGTTTAACTGTTCTGATAGTCGATTTAGGAAAACTATAAGGCAAACATTTAATCTGACATTATAGAATTTTTTTAAAATAGTATTTTGGAGTTTCTGATTATAGTTTTTAGCTAACTTACTCATTGATTAAGTAAAACAAGTGCAAGGCAAAATCTGGTCAGTGCTAACAGATAATCAAGCTCTAAAGAGACAAGCCTGTCTTCAAAAAATAATGTAGTGAAATTTTATTTTATTTTTTTCTCTTTTCAGTGACTTTCTGGCTGATCAAGCTGCATGTTATGTTCAGGCAATACAGTGGATTTTGCACTATTACTATCATGGAGTTCAGTCCTGGAGCTGGTGAGGGAATAAAAACAAAAATAAAATTGTATCTTTTTATAATGGTGCATTCTACTGTGATCTCATATGGGATGTCTTTTTCTTTTATGATGGTACTTAGAAAAATATACATACAGCCAAGTTTAAATGAATACAAGTAATCTCTTTTTACATGAAAATATTTAAAAAAACCTTTGTCTAACAAAGATGTTTTCATCCCTCGCTCCCAGGCCTTTGCTTAGAGGGCCCGGGCCCAAGTGACCTAGCTGAAGCTTTTCCTACCGCCTCTTTTCTTTCATTCTAAGCATCTTATTTTTTAGAAGATTCATTATCAATATTTTGGGAACTAAAAGAAGCATTACATCAAAGATATCCTTCTATTACATAGTACATCCCAATTTTGGAATTGTGAAAATGCACTTTGAAAATTAAAGAAATATAATGTTTATTGCATTTAATATTTAATGCACAGTGCTGCATGTGTTGTATTCAAGTGATAGAATTGTGGGTGACACTTTCTTTTCCTGTAAAATTATTGCTATGTTTTGTTAAACTATGGGGAAAAGGTATATACTTAGTATCGACCTGTTTCATAAAGTTACTAGTTGTTTAAAACTCAGTTTTGTTTTACAGGTATTACCCTTATCATTATGCACCTTTTCTGTCAGATATCCGGAACATCAGTACGCTTAAAATCCATTTTGAGCTAGGAAAACCTTTTAAGCCATTCGAGCAGCTTCTTGCTGTACTTCCATCAGCTAGCAGAAATTTGCTTCCTGCGTGTTACCAGGTGAGCTTTAGAATTCAGTGTTTTATGTCCTTTTTGAAATTTAAGAGTTCCTCCAAACCTAGACTCATAGCACCTGAATTTATAAAGTAGCTAAATATATTAATTTTCAGTTTTACATATAGTATTTCTTTAACAAGTTTCATGAGAAATAATTCTTTGAAGTTAGCTTAGCTTCAAAAATGCAAACAAACTCCATGAACCATTCAAAGTCTAGCTTCTTCCTTTTCTGCACTTTAAAGCACATCTCGACACTGAAGAAAGTAAACTATGACAGGCAAAATCCGAAGCCATCTACTTTGTCCAAACTTTTACATTCATGCTTGTTCTCTTTTTCCCTTCTACCTATTAAATAGGAATAGTTCTAATGAGTCATTTTTCTCATCAGAAGTTTTACCTCAGGGTGTATTTGGGCTTTAAGCATTTCATTTATCAAATTCTGGGATAAGCAGATTTTTCTGGTTAGCATATTTCACACAGCCAAAGGAAAATATTTCCGGAGGCAGAGGGGAGATTCACCAAAATTTCACTAAACCTATTAAACTGATTCTGAAGGTAAACTTAATATTTTAGGGTATCAGTCTGTTCTAATTCCGTGGTCTGGTCCTAGAAATTAGAGCAGAGACACAGACACAGACACACATACACAGACATGTTTGCTGCTTGAACAGTGTCAGGCTCCTTCTGCATCTTCCTTAACGTGGCCTCTTGCCTCCCTTTCTTCATAAGTTTCTTTGATGTTTTTTCCCTGCTTTTAGATACACTGAGGGTTGATACTCAACCACTCTGCACTAGTGGGACCATGCAAGTGTTTTACAGTCACATCTGTTTTGATTCCTTAGTGCCCATGCCATACTGGTTATGAAATATGTTGTGTATTGCCCTTGGAAATACACTGTTTTATTTCTTTTTTAAAAAAGTTTTATAACCCTCCATATTAATATCCTAGAAGACATCTTTATGCTTTGTCAACTTCGTTATAAAATCTCTAATAAAAATGTGTCTTATTGGACTGTTTCCCTTTGATATTAGTGAGTCTTGGATTTTTAGATTTTTTTTTTTCCTTTTTAAAATATCTTGGAGGATGGTTGTTACATTGCTTAATAGAACACATTTGTTAGGACATGAAGGTAAATTGTTAATTTAAGGTTAAAGATGGAGAACTACTATAAACCTATGAAATTAACCGAAATGAAGTCCAAATGGTAAAATAGAATTTAGGTGAAAATTCAGAAAATAGAAAGGACAGAATTAAAGTTCAGAGTAAAGATGTTTTTGCTGCAAAACTAGGTCAGCAGAGCAGGAAAGTGATGAGTAGCGGTGGAATTAGAAGTCTGATAGTTAAAAATCAAAATATAGTTAGTGTATTTGAATATGTCTAAGACATAAAAATTTAGTTTGCTTGGAAATTTTGAGGAAATATAAATACATTAACAAAAAGCTGTATTGATATTAGTTCTTATATTTTTATTACATTATTTTATATTTTCACAGCATTTGATGACCAGTGAAGACTCGCCAATTATAGAATACTATCCACCTGATTTTAAAACTGACCTAAATGGGAAACAACAGGAATGGGAAGCTGTGGTATTAATACCTTTTATTGATGAGGTCAGTATGTGAAATAATTATATATACATGTGCATTCTTAATCAGATTATTTAGCATAACTTAATGAGCACCGGGTTTTAATCACCATTTGTGTTTTGTTCATGAGATTTATCAACTCAGTTCTTCATTATGTGCATCAAAACGTCTAGATACGCTAATTATAAGAAAGCTGCAGTGGCTTTATTAATATTAGACAATGTAGATTTCAGTACAAGGAATATAACCAGAAATTAAGAGCGATATTTCATAATGATGAGAGAGTCAAGTTCATCAAAAAGACTCAACAATTCTAAATGTATACGCACCTAATAACAGAACTTCAAAATACATGAAGCAAAAATTGTGAGAATTAATAGAGGAATAAACAAATTCAGAATTATAGTTAAAAATTTCAACACTTCTCTGAGGAATTGATAGAAACAACAAAATGGATAAGGATGTAGAAGAATAACAGTATAAATCTACTCAACTTCACTGATATTTTGTAAAACACTAACACCCAACAAATGCAGAATACTCATTCTTTTTAAGTGAATAAAGAACATTCACCAGGGTTATGTCCTCAGCCATAGAACATGTCTCAAAAATTTAAAAGAATTGAAATCATACAGAGAATATTGTCCAACCACATGGCATTAAATTAGAAATCAGTAACAGATATCTGGAAAAATCCCCAAATATTTTAAAATATAATAACACACTTCTAAATAACCCACGAATGAAAGATTAAAAGAGAAGTTAGAAAATATTTTGATCTGAATGATAATGAAAGCACAGCATCTGTGTGATGCAACTAAAGCAGGGCTTAAAGAGAAACTTAGTGGTTCTGAATACTTATACTAAGCAAGAAAAAGGTTTAGAATAAATTATCTAAGCTCCCACCTTAAGAAGCAAAAAAAAAAAAAAAAATTAAATCCAAATTAAGCAAAATGGAGGAAATGATAAAGACAGGAGCAAAAATCTGTGGAAAATGAACAGTGGGGAGAAATTAATGAAACCAAAAGTTGGCTCTTTGAAAAGATTAATCAAATTGATGAATCCTACTGCTCACTTTGACAGCACATACACAAACTGATGAATCTTAGCCAGACTAATCAAGAAGGAATAAAAAAAAAGAGGAAGGGAGAGATGGAACACATATTAGGAATCAAAGAGGAGGCGTCCTATAGATCCTACAGATATTAAAAGGATAGGTAAGGGTTATTATGAACAACTTTATGCCTATAAATTCAACAACACAGATGAAATGAACACATTTCTTTAGAGGCACAACTTAGCAAAACTGGCAAAAAAGAAATATAGAATCTGAATAATTCTACATCTTTTAAATTTTTAATTCTTCCCATGGAGAAAATTCTAGGCCCAGTTGTCTTATGAATTCTATTAAACATTTAAGGAAGAAATACCAATATTACACAAACTTTCAGTAAATAGAAGAGTTACTGTTTCCCAGCTCATTAGGCCAGCATAATCCGGATATCCAGAATGGACAAAGATTACAGGAAAAGAAAATTACTGACTAATACTGCTCTTACAGGTAGATTCAAAAAATCTTAACAAAGTAACACCAGATAGAATCCAGCAATATAAGAAAAATAATACTAGTCACAAAATGGGATTTGTTTTAGAAATGTAAGGTTTAATCAGTGTAATTTATCACATTATTAATATTCAACACCCATTCTTAATAGAAACTCAGCAAACTGGGAATAGGAAGAAACTTCCTCCACCTGATAAAGGGCATCTAAAAAAACCTATTGCTAACAACACTTCTAAATAAGAGTAAAAGACTGAACATTTTCCCTATTAAAAAAAAATAGGACAAGGATGTCCATTTTAACCACCTCTCCAATATTGTACTGGGGTCCTTAAGTGCATTAAGCCAAGTGCGTTAAGGAAAAGAAATAAAAGACATACAGATTAGAAAGGAAGAAATAAAATTGTCTGTATTTGTAGATGACATTATTATCTATGTAGAAAATTCTAAGGAATCGTCAGAAAAGCTACTAGAACTAATAAGTAGATTTAGCAAGGTCACAGGATATTAAAATCAGTATGCAAAGATCAATTGTATTTCCATATACTAGCAACAAACAATTGAAAAATACAAATTTTAAAAATTCCATTTACAATAGCATTAAAAAATATACATACACCTAAATTAGTACCACTGAAACAAAACTTGGAACTGGCAGAATTACCACATTCTTATATTCTTTTTGGAAGCAAAAGCCCAGAACTTAGATACGTAAGAATGAAAGTAGATATGTAAGATGTGAAAAGGAGAATTCCTGTTACAGGAAATAGTCAGTGAAATGAATGGCACTGGAAATTGCCCAGTTGGAATACATGATAAAATTTTCAGAACTGAGAGATTGATGGGACCCATTTGTACCTTGCAGAGAGGATTATTAATCTAATACTAAGAACAGGAAGAGCTTGACCTCACACGTGGGTTTGTCTCTTTCTCACTCATAGACATACATGCGTGTGCACACATGCACACACATCCTTTTCAGTTTGAACATGTGTTAGGCCTCCTTCCATGTCTATCCTTTTATCAGAATCTTCCAGCTAATTTGTGATGGAGGATGAGGAGTGGGCAGTAGGAGGATGAGAGAGGTAGGTGGTGGATGTGGTTTAAAACCATTTTATTTTATCACAGTTCTGTGAGTCAGCAATTTGGGCTGGGCTCAGCTGGGTGGTTCTTTTGCTGATTACACCTGAGGTCACTCAAGCTTGGCAGTCATCTAGTTGCTCATGGAGCTGGTTGTCTGAGATGGCCTCACTCCTGTGATTGGTGGTTGATGTTTGTTGTCATCTGGGGCCTCTCTCTAGGTAATTTCACACCCTCAGGGAGGCTAATCTAGGTTTATTTGCGCTGTGATCTTGGGTTCCAGGAATGTGTAAACAAAAGCTACAGGATCTCTTGAGCTTTGGAAGTTGTACAGAATCACTTTTACTACATTCTTCTGAATAAAGCAAGTCACAAGGCCAACCCATATTTAAGGAATTGGAAAATAGAATTCACCTATTCGTATTTAAAGGGGCTTATATACAAGGATAAGAAGAATTATTGCAGCCATTTTTGCAAACCATCAGCTGTAGTCTGCTCTCTGACTGCAATAATTTACATCCCATTCAAATAGGAAGCACACTAACTTCTTAAGCATCAGGGTCAAGATCCAGACTCTTATCTTTAAATCAGGTCCGGATGTGGATGAGGGTTCTCAGATGCAGCTCCTCTGGTGTAGCTTTCTTAATTCAAAGATGTGGGAATTAAAACTACAAGGTAGAGACTAGGACGGGATAACCACAATAAGTCACTCCCATCAAAAACGGAAGGAACGAGGCACATAGCAGTCAGTGGCCTATAGTAGTTGTTAAATCCGGCTTAAACAGCATACTATCAAGTCCCTAATAGCCTATTCTTGGGCAGGGATTTGAACTGGTTCGAGCTGCTTCAGTCATGGCCAACAAAGCAAAACTGGAACAGACCCAAATTTTTTAAATTTGGGTGATCCAAATAAATAAATAAATAAGATTTGGGTAATCCAAAATGATAACCAAAATGGGAAAAGTTACAGGTCAAAGTCTTGGAATGGGAGACTCAGAAGAGGTGTAGAGCCTTGCTAGGAGCCTGATGTGTGAGAGTGGATTATTGGCAGGACTGTGGAGAACGACACACATTCAGAATGGCGCGATTGGCCACCATTTTTGAGTAGGCACTGCTCTGCTGTTTCCAGCTCTGCACAAAATCAGATGGGCAAGAGATTTGGTTGCTGTGCAGTGTGTATGCTGCCCTTGTTTTCTAAGAGGGAAATTAAGTTTCCAGCAGGCTTCAACCCATAAATTTTCCCATTCTGGGTATCGTTCTGGTTCACCAAAATTTTGAAAATTCAGGTCTGTTCTGGTTTCGCTTCCTCAGCCATGACTGAACCAGGAAGAATTGGTTCAAAGCCCTGCTCTAGGGGTGGAGAATGTTTCCTGATTAGAGCCCGAATCCATTCCCTAGGTGTGTTTCCACAGTCTGTTTTCTATGGGCACTTGGTTCTGTCCTCTGAGATGTAGGGGTGGATAGGAAGCAGAATTGAGTAGAAGGAAAGGTTGGGCTACAAATGCTTTTTCGACAAAAGCCTCAACTGACCCTAGAGGTCGCTCTGAAACTTGAATGACTCTTCAGAGTTGTTCCAAACTGTGGTGAAAGGCCTCAGCCTTTATACTCTTCATCTATCAGACCCTGGACGCAGGATTCTTTTTGCAAGGGTGTATGACCTTGGATGAGATGACTCTTCATTTGAAGATATTTCCCAGAGAGGGTCAACAGCTGAAAGTTGTAAGCCAGCAACACTTCCAGCATCTGGGAGAATAAGTCCTTTAGTACTAAAGGGGAACCTGAGCAGCACATCACGGCATCAGCTGCATCAGTGTACCTTAAAATTATGCTATTCTGAAAACCGAAACCAAATCAGTTGTTGTCGAGTTGATTACAACTCGTGGCAACCCTATGTGTTTTCAGAGTAGAACTGCGCTCCATAGTATTTTCAGTGACTGATTTTTTGGAAGTAGACTGCCAGGCCTTTCTCTCAAGGTGCCTCTGGTGAACTCAAATTGCCAACCTTTAAGCATAGTAGCTAAATGCTTAACTATTTGCGCCACCCAGGGACTCCTATGCTGTCCTCAAGATTGCTAAAGAACTATGTCTCTCCTGAAGATGCTAAAGTATTCAACATTACAAGAATAAGATGTTACATATGCATGCCCAGGGCTTGGCACACCAGAAAAATCTTTATATTCTGAATGTGAAGAAGGATTAGACTCAAACTTTGAATGTGATATTAGAGAAGAAAATAGGAAATAAGTATCATTGTCAGATAGTAAAAAGTAGTTGTGCAAATTAAATTTACTTTTATTTCTTGAAAGGCTGTTAATATTTGATTGTTACTGTACAGTACCAGTGGTACCTTAGAGTCAAGTACCATAGCATCTGTTCTATTCTGTAGTGTTTTCCAGATTTTGCCACTTTCTTCCTCATTCTGTCACTTCTGTACTGTAAATGCTTTGAAAGTGACATGGAGAATGTTTGGATTAAATGTCTAAGAGGCCACTCTGGAAAACAGTTTGGCAGTTTCTTATAAAGTTAAACATAACATTTACCATATAGTCCAGCAATCACACTCTTGGGTATTCTAGAAAAGTGAGAATTTCTGTTTACACAAAAACCTGTACACAAATGTTCAAAGCAGCTTTATTTGCAATTACCCCAAACTGGGAACAATCCAGATGTCCTTCGACAGGTGAATAGATAAACTATAGTACATTCATACAGTGGAATACTGCTCAGCAATAAAAAGAAGTGAGCTATTGATAACAACTTGGATGAAAAAAGTTCACTTGAGTGAAAAACAGTCAATCTCAAACAGATATATATTGTATGATTCCTCTTATATAATACCCAAAATGACAAAATTATTGTGATACAAAACAGGTCAATGGTTGGCAGGGGTGAGGGCTGGGGATAGATTATGACTATAAAAGGGTAGCATGATGGAGTTCATGGTTCTGTATACCAGTTTAGTAGTGATTGCATTAATCTATACATCTGATACCGTTGCATAGCACAGTACGCCAAAAAAGAGTCACGTATGAAAACCGGTGAAATCCAAATAAGTGTGTGGTTTAGTTAATAATGTACCAATATCAGTTTCCTGGTTTTGATAACGCACTATAGTTATGTGTAAGATGTTGTCATTGGAAAAAGCTGGGTAAAAGGTATGTGGGAATCCTCTAGTATTTCTGCAGCTTCTTGGGAGCTTTAAATTATTTTAAAAAAAAAGTGTAGGAGAGCCATCACTCTTGTCCAGCATAACGTTCTGTCATTGGCAGTGTTTCTCAATGGGGTATGCAGTCCAGGGAAAGGAGTATAAAGATGTCTTCAATTAGCAAATATTGGTTGGAAATCTCCTCTGTGTCAGGCTAAAGGCAGGACACATATATGATGCCATGTTTAGCATATTTATATGTACTTTTTTCCTATTCATACAAATAAGTTTATGCATGCTCTCTTTTTCTTGGAATTTTATGGAATTTGTTGTGAAATTGAGGAATTTATTTCTTTTTTCTTTAATACAAATGTTAAAAGCTTTTGTGTGTATGTTAGAGTGGAGTTCTTGTGTGTGTATGTATTTAAATATTTTATATTTGCTGTCTTGGGCTTTTGTTTATTATTATTTTGCTTTGCTTTAGTTACTTTTTTTTTTCTGTAATAATTAATATTAACAGCTTCTGTATATCCTGCCATGGTCATGTTGTTGTTGTTAGGTGCCCTCAAGTCGGTTCCGACTCATAGTGACCCAGTGTGCAGCAGAATGAAACACTCCTGGGTCCTGTGCCATCCTTATGATCGTTGTTATGCTTGAGCCCATTGTGGCAGCCACTGTGTCAGTTCATTTTGTTGAGGGTCTTCCTCTTTTTTGCTGACCCTCTACCAAGCTTGATTTCTTCCTCCAGGGACTGATCCCTCCTCATAACACATCCAAAGTCTGTGAGACAGAGTCTCACCATCCTTGCTTCTGGGGAGCATTCTGGCTGTACTTTTTCCAAGACAGATTTGTTCATTCTTTTGGCAGTCCATGGTATGTTCAGTATTCTTCGCCAACACCATAATTCAAAGGCGTCAGTTCTTCTTCGGTCTTCTTATTCATGGTCATAGAAATATGAATAACATGTATTCATAGGATTTTTTTTTTAATGAGATCATACATAGATATTTTCTACAACTTTTTCTTACCTAATAAAAATATCATGGGCATCGCTCCAAGTCAGTGAATAGAAATCTAACTCATTCTTTAATAGCAGCATAATGTTTTATAGTATGAATATACCATAATTTATTCAACCGTTACTCTGATCGATATTCAGGCTGCGTCATGTTTTTTGACACTGTATACAGTGCTGTGATAAAAGTGCTTGTATATTTATGTATTCTTTGTGTCTGTTCATGTATTCGTATGTATTGGAGCTTTTATTTTTATTAGGTGGATTCCCAAAAGTGGGATTGCTAGGTCAACAGGAATGTACATTTTTAGTTTTAATGAATATTGCCAAATTATTTTTTCAAAAAGATTGATCTAATTCACACCAGCAGTGTTTCAGTGTCCACTTCTCTGCTTCTCCAATGCTAGATACTATTGTTCTATTTTGGCCAATGTATTGATGATGAAAAATGCCGTTTATTTTTATTCAAATATGTATTTTCCTGACCCTAATTTGAGTAGATCTTTATGTGTGCGTTTGCCCTTTGCGTTTTCTCTTTCGTAAATTACCTGTTTGTATCCCTTCCCCCATTTTCTTTCTCTTATCTTCTGATTTGTAGCAGCTCTTTGTAGATTTAGGGGTGTTCTTCTCTAGTGTAGCATTTGTTTCTTGATTTGCTTATGGCACCTTCTGTCTCATAAATCTTCTTTTAGTTAAAAATAACATTTTCCCTTAAGGCTATTAGATTTTTTTTCTCTCTTGCTCAAATAAGAGTTCATACCACTAAATTGTCAATCCTCTCTTAGATTTTCTCTTTAATACGTTTATTGTTTTATTACTCTGACACTTGTTTTTGTTATGGCATGAAATTGGGAAGTATGTGTGCTTTTTTTCCTCTATTATTTCAATATGATATCTGACATAATGGTTTTTGGCGTAGAGTTGAATCTGTTGTTTAATTCTCTATGGGTCTCTTCTGGTGCCAGTATTAAAGTGTTTGGACTATAGTAGCTTTATAAAAAGTGATAGTATCTGGTAAGACAAGTCCCCAATTATTTTTTGCTGCTCATACATTAATTTTCACATATGAACACTAACATAATTTTGTCCTTTTAAAAAAAAAAATTTTTTAACCATAGAGATTCTGATTGGAATAGTATTAAGTGTGTGAGTTAATTTGGAAAGATGGACATTTCTCTACCATTGCAGAATTTGTAAAGTAAAATATTAATGCTCTGTAAATCATGATTAATTATGACAACTTTACATTTTAAATTTAATTCTCTGCTGCTGTTCCTATCTACACTTAAACAGCTTCAGATGAATTTACAGCTGCAGCAGTATTCTACGGCCTTTTGAGGTGAATAGATAGTGCATCAGGTTTTCATATAATGAAATGGAAAAAAGTTTCATCAGTTAAGATTTGTTTTTCAAGAACACAAACGGGGATTCTGTATACTGAAGGAAAAGATTTATTATGCATGTCGAGATTACAGAATTTTTATACTTTCACCTCTCTTCAATCTTTTATTTTCAGAAACGATTGTTGGAAGCCATGGAGTCATGTAACCACTCCCTCAAAAAAGAAGAGAGGAAAAGAAACCAACATAGTGAGTGCCTAATGTACTGGTATGATAGAGACACAGACTTCACCTACCCCTCGCCATGGCCAGAAAAATTCCCTGACATACAACGATGTTGCACAAGGTAATGCTATTCGGTAATTTTTCAATAACCATGGAGGGCGGGGGGGAAGCTTTGGAATATCTATTTGGAGAATTAACAAATAGTTTACTGCAGTTATAGTCAATTGATAATGAGTCACATCTGACTTGCCAAGGATCATAGCATCTTTCTTTCTCCTTGTTTTTATAGTTCTCTGCTTGGGTCAGACTGTTTCTCTCTTCCCTTTTCTGTTAAAATTGGCATTTTTTCTCCCAGTTGTATATCTCTGTTCTTTGTCTCCTTCAAGAGGATGTGTTTATTTTTATTGTTTTCATTTCCAGTGTCTTTGCTGCCAGCATTATTTGACACTTTTTGACTTTGCCTCTTATCCCCACCACCCAACTAGAAAGAAGAAATAAAAGAGCGCCTCCATTTTCTTATCTCGAACCCATTTTTTCTTCTCATTGTAATTTCTCCCTTGTTTTTTCTCTTCCCTCATCCCCCTGCAAACAGTCTACCCAGATAACAATAGAGTTGCAGATAAAGTGAACATCTGTCAGTTGTGATATTTCCTTTTGTTAAAACAAAGAGAAAAATGAAATAGGAATTATATAAAGTTCCTATTGCATTCTAGGTTTTGGAACATGGAGGATATGGAGATTTGTATTATGCTTTATACCTTCCTTAATTTTGAAAATTAATTATATATAGTTTAAATTAATGGTAGAAAACCTATACTCAGTAACCTACAGGCATGGTTGTATCTGGACCAGCAACAACAAAGAAGCTGTATCCTCTGTACTTTCTTTGTTTTAAAGGAGGAATTGTTATTCCCTTCTTTAGAAGCAAGGATAACTCTTGCAAAATATTCAAAGGAAAGTTGAAAAACTGTGGTTGCTTGTATGAGTTTAAAGTTAAATACCTTGATTTATTTTCTAGGTACAAAATAATATCTTTAGATGCTTGGCGTGTAGACATAAGCAAGAACAAAATAACCAAGGTTGACCAGAGGGCAGTATATTTCTGTGGATTTCCTACTCTGAAACACATCAAACACAAAGTTAGTGGCTACTTGGTTCAGATTTTTTTCACTTTATTGAATGTGAAGTGATTATTGAGAAAGAATTAGAATTAAATTCTCTGAATTCTTTTAAAGTTTTTTTTGAAGAAAAGTGGGGTACAAGTATTCCAGCAAAGCAGTCGTGGAGAAAACATGATGTTGGAAATCTTACTCAATGCAGACTCGGATGAACTTGTAAGTATTTTATTTATTGTTCATTTATTAGGTTGCTTACTATGCATAAAACTATTCTAGGTTCTGAGGTGTTTGCCAAAGAAGTATAACATGTTTTAAGTTCACAGTCTAAATAAGGATAAAGCAAAGAAGTATTTATACAAATAACAGTTCAGGACATGTGTGATTGTGACACAGTGATCGAAAATAATGCTCCAAAATTTTTAAAAACATGAGCTATGTAAGCTAAAGATTAAGTACACACTTACAGAAGAGGAAAAACTTGAGCTGGTGCTAAAAAAGAGGTTAAAACCAAGAGGAGTAAAGGAGGGGGAAAAGGCATTCTAGTTGAAAGGAATAGCACGAACTGGGAATTGTAGTAAACAATAAATGTGATACATTATCTTACTCTTTTTACCTTTTTTGTATGTGTAAAATATTTTTTAATACTTCTTCTTTTTTTAGAATAAATGCGATGTATTTGAGGAGAAGGAGTAGATATACCTGACTGAAGCAGAGGACTTATATTGGGAAATAGTGGAAGATAAGGTTAAAAAAAAAAAAAACAGATTAAGGCCAGATTATGGAAGACTTGAATACAAGCCTAAGGAATTAGGACTTTTTTTGTGTGTGACTGTTATCTTGAAATTAATATTTTCATAAAAATTAATTTGGTGCCAATATAAGACACTTAGTTGCATAAAGGAGAAATGGAAGAAAATGGAAAGGCCTGCCAAGTTCAGTGGTTGTTGGTTGTTGAAATATTAGGTGATAAGAACATAAACTGTGAAAGTGACAATAGATCTACTAGATGAGCAAGACTAAAGAAAAAAAAATCGACAAGTTTCATTATTTATTGAAATATAGGGGATAAAACGAGGAGAAAAATATTAAACATGGCTTCGAGATATCCAGGCTAATTAACTGAAAAATAACTGCTGTTTACTGGAATAGAAAAGTCAAATGGGAGAGTCTCTAGGATTAATGATAAATAATGATAAAATTTTAAAGTGGTAGTAACATATTCAACTGGAGCCGCCCTGCCAGCCTTTCTCATCCAGGGTTCCACAAGAGATTTAAGCCGTAATGGCCATTTTTAAATCATCCATTGTATGTAATGAATTAATTTATTTTCCATGCATCTGGAATAGTAATAGTTATGTACCATTCTTGGGAGAATTGAAAAAATAATCAGATCATTTTTGTTCTGTGGTCCAGTTGAAGAACCTTAGTTGAGAAAGGCTATTTATAGACAGTATTAATACCTGGGGTAATTTAATACCTGGGGTAATTTAATACCTGGGGTTAGAACTTGCAGGTAGATAGGGATTTAAGAGTCTTCAGCAGAAAGGTGATTGCTGAGGCCTTGGGGCTTTTTTTCCTGAAGAAAAGGAACACTGAGGATTCAGGGTCTCAGCATAAAGACTAACTCACACTTATAAAGGATAGAAAAGGAGCCAGTAGAGAGACACAGTGGTCAGAGAAGTAAGAGGGAATCACTCCCAAGCTAAAGTAGTATCACAGAAGCATGGAACAGAGGCTGTATGCTGCACACGGTTCAGGAACAGTAAAAACTAAAACATGGTCTATGAATTTGAGCTTTAGGGAGTCATTGTTGGCCTTTGAGAATTCCATTCCAATAGATTGATGGGGGCAGAAGACTAACTCCTAAGGACTAGACTGGGACTAAGTACATAGGATATAAAGGTAGCAGGTATTGAGCCTTAGTCAAGAAGTTTATAAATGAAAGAAGGCTTAAGAACATAACTGTAGGTAGAGAAGAGGCAATTGGTCAAGTAAAATCTGTATGAAGGGAGGTAGAGCCAAGGGAGAAAAGAGATCTTAAAGACCCTGGAGAGGGAAGGGATGTTTGTGATCGCAGGATCCCCCATGAGGTAATATGGGAGAGCTTAAGTGAAAGGATTCATCTAGGTAAGGAGGACAGCTTTTTCTTCAGAAACTAAACTAAAGGGTGTGAGATTAAAATTAAAAAGTAGATGTATAATAGGGAAAAGAATAAGTGGGGGAGCTTAGTTCTAATGTTGAAACTCGTTTTATTTATCAGAATAGTCATTCTATTGTTTTGTGTGTTAATATTAAGAAATGTCTAAATATCAAAATAAAAAGTTACCCAAAACAGTCTGAAAATGGTCATCAGTAACTGTTAAATATAATGATTAAAGGTGATACACAGAAAAAAGGTGAATGAAAATATGTATTTAAACTTTAGTTTCAGCTGCAAAGTTGTTGTCTAACCTATGTATATAAATTGAATTGGATAAAACAAGTTCTGTTTAAAGCTAGAATTTTCACTTACAATATTTCCTACTGAATATTTGTAAAGCATTTTATAGTTTACAAAAAGCTTTTGTATACATTATTTATCTTAAAATTAGCATTGTGAAGTAGATTTTATTCTTCTCATAAGAAAAAACTGGGACTCGGTGGAATTTATTGATTCACTTAAGATTCTCCACTCAAAAGAGGTAGAACCCAAGTTTGGCTCCATGTCTCCTGACTTTAAGTCTAGTGTTCCTTTTCATTATATCAGCTACAAATGTAAATGAGAGGAAAATTCTTGGATTTTGAAATATCTATTTGATATTAAACAATGAATAGCCTTTTCTGGACATTCCTGTTGTTCTTTTCACTTTTCTCAGTTTCCGTGAGAAAAATAAGCAAAATAATCATGAGTCTAATTAGTGGGATCATAGTTACAACTGAGGATTGTGTAAATCCACTAATCCAACTCAATTTTACAAATTAAGAAAAATGGAGATTGGAAAAGAAACTTGCTGAGATTCACACACTGGTGGAACTAAGAATCCAGGTGTCTTACTGAACATTTAAAAAAATATATATATTAGGCTGTTTATATGGAGAGTAAAACACTGTAAGTCGGTGCTATTCTGTTTGATTTTATTAAAACTCGCTTCTCTCACCAAGTGATTTCATTCAGGATTAATATCAGTGGCCACCCTTTAGTGCCAGTGCTGTTGAGAAAGTAAGAAGCAGGCAAGCTTCCTGGTGTCCTGATTTTGGCCATGGTAACTTTAAGTACCTTAAGTTGGTTAGAGTGCCTCTCTAATGAGAAGAGATTGGCAGAGGGGAAGGTTAATGTGGAAAATAAGAAAAAGGAAATAGTAATAGAACTGATAATAACAGTAATAATAGCTAAAGTTTATTGAGTGCCTCCTAGTATCTTAACTACTTTTCATGGGTCCATACTAAATTAAAGGGTGAAGTGAAAGCCAGATAAGTAAAAACAACTGAAAACAAATTTTTTCCAAAAAAGGAGAAACGAAAGAAATGGAAACTCTAGAAGAAGAAATTCTGGCAAATTTACTGGGTTGAAAAAGAATTAGCAATAAAGAAAAATTAAGAAAACTAACTGAATTTGAGTGGGTGGAGTAAGTTAATGGCATTAAAGTTGAGAAGAGCATGTATCCTTGAGAATAACTGCCTTGAGTGAGCAAAGTTTTCTGACTTTAATTTTAAACCCATGATATTTTATCTGGTCTAATTATTAAGGTGAGGTTTTGATAGATTTTTAAATACATGGTTACAAGCATTTCAGCTAGCTTTTAATTGTTTAGCTTTGCCTCTCTAAAGTTTTCTCTTGGACCTGCAACGTGAATTAATTTTCTATTTTTACTTTAAGAGTATAGAAAATGTAGCTTCATCAGCGCTTGGAAAGTCTGTCTTTGTTAATTGGCCTCACCTTGAAGAAGCTAGAGTTGTAGCTGTGTCAGATGGGGAAACTAAGTAAGTAAGATTTCATTTACAATTCTTTTTGTTTTTTGTTTTTATTGTTGTAGTTTAAATGAAGTTTACATTTCAAGTTAGTCTCCCATACAAAAATTTATACATACATTGTTATGTTACCCTAATTGCTCTCCCCGTACTGCAGCAGCACACTCCTCCTTTCCACCCCTGATTCCCTATGTCCATTCAGCAAGCTCCTAACCCTTTCTGCCTTCCCATCTCACCTCTGGACAGAAGCTGCCCGTTTAGTCTCTTGTATCTACTTGAGCTAAGAGACACACTCCTCACGAGTATCACTTTATGTCCCACAGTCCGGTCTAATCCCTGTCTGAAGAGTCGGCCTCCGAAATTGTTTTAGCTCTGAGCTGATAGAGAATCCAGGGGCCATGTTTTCTGGGGTTCCTCCAGTCTCAGTCACACCATTAAGTCTGGTCTTATTAGACTTTGAGTTCTGCACCCTCCCTTTCTCCTGCTCGATCAGGGACTCTCTGTTGTGTTCCCTGTCAGGGTGGTCATTGGTGGTAGCTGGGCACCATCTAGTTCTTCTGGTCTCAGGCTGATGAAGTCTCTGGTTTATGTGGCCCTTTCTGTCTCTTGGGCTACTACTTTCCTTGTGTCTTTGGTGTTCTTCATTCTCATTTACTCCAGGTGGTTGGGACCAATTGATGCATCTTAGATGGCTGCTTGCAAGCTTTTAAGACCCCAGACGCCACTCACCAAAGTAGGATGCAGAACATTTTCCTAATAAGCTTTGTTATGCTAATTGACCTAGATGTCCCCTGAAAGCATGGTCCCCAGTCCTCTACCCCTGCTATTCTATCTCTCAAAGTGTTTGATTCTATTGAGGAAACTTTTTAGCTTTGGTTTAGTCCTGGTGTGCTGACTTCCCCTGTAGTGTGTGCTGTCCTTCCCTCCACCTAAGATAATTCTCATCTACTATCTAGTGAGTAACTAACCCTCACCCTCCCTCCGCACCCTCGTATCCATCAAAGGATGTTTTCTTCTGTGTTTAAACCTTTTCTTGAGTTCTTATAATAGTGGTCTTATACAATATTCTGTGACTGACTAAATTCACTCAGCATAATGAGTTCCAGCTTCCTCCATGTTATGTTTCACGGCTTCATCGTTGTTCTTTATCGTTGCATAGTATTCCATCGTGTGGATATACCATAATTTGTTTATCCATTCGTCCGTTGATAGGCATCTAGATTGTTTCCATCTTTTTGCTATGGTGAACAGTGCTACAATGGTGTGTGCATATATCTGTTCATGTGACGGCTCTTATTTCTCTAGGATATATTCCAAGGAGCGGGATAGCTGGATCGTATGGTACTTCTATTTCTAGCTTTTTAAGGAAATGCCAAATTGATTTCCAAAGTGGTTGTACCATTTTACATTCCCACCAACAGTGTATAAGTCTTCCAGTCTCTCCACAACCTCTCCAGCATTTATTGTTTTGTGTTTTTTGGATTAGAGCTAGCCTTGTTGGGGGGAGATGGTATCTCACTGTAGTTTTGATCAGCATTTCTCTAATTGCTAATGATCGTGAGCATTTCTTCATGTGTCTGTTAGCTGCCTGAATATCTTCTTTGACAAAGTGCCTGTTTATATCCTTTGCCCATTTTTTAATTGAGTTATTTGTCTTTTTGTTGTTGAGGTTTTGCAGTATCTTGTAGGTTTTAGAGATTAGACACTGATCGGATTTGTCGTAGCCAAAAATTTTCTCCCAGTCTGGAGGTTGTCTTTTGACTCTTTTGGTGAAGTCTTTTGATGAGCATAAGTGTTTGATTTTTAGGATCTCCCGTTTATCTAGTCTCTCTTCTGGTGCTTGTGCATTGTTACTTATGGTTCGTATTATGTTTATGCCATGTAATAGGGCTCCTAGCATTATCCCTATTTTTCTTCCGTGATCTTTATCGTTTTCGATTTTATATTTAAGTCTTTGATCCATTTTGAGTTAGTATTTGTGCATGGTGTGAGGTATGGGTCTTGTTTCAGTTTTTTGCAGATGGATATCCAGTTATGCCGGCACCATTTGTTAAAGAGACTGTCTTTTCCCCAGTTAACAGGCTTTGGGCCTTTGTCAAATATCAGCTGCTCATAGGTGGATGAGTTTATGTCTGGATTCTCAATTCTGTTCCATTGGTCTATGTATCTGTTGTTGTATCAGTACCAGGCTGTTTTGATTACAATGGCAGTATAATAGGTTCTAAAATCTGGTAGTGTGACGCCTCCCGCGTTGTTGTTCTTCTTGAGTAATGCTTTATTTATTCGGGGCCTCTTCCCTTTCCATATGAAGTTGGTGATTTGTTTCTCCATCTCATTAAAAAATGCCGGTGGAGTTTGGATCGGGATTGCATTGTATCTGTAGATCATTTCAGGTAGAATTCATTTACAGTATTTTTAACATATTTATTGTGCTGCTTGATGGCTTTTATTGATCCATTTTTTACTGATATAATTATTAAAAAATATATACTCTCTATAGTGAAAATAAAAGCTCCATCATCACACCATTTAGAGTTCAACATCTATTGATAATTTATTGTACATCCCTTTAGATATCTTATTTTTCTATTGTAAAAATATATATAACACAGCATTCACTATTTCAACATTTTCCACATGTACAATTTAGTGATTTCAGTTGGATTTATCATGTTATGCAACTCTCACCAATAGTCCTTGCCAAATTTCCCACCACCATAAACAGTAAATCACTGCTTCTGAAACAGTGACTCCCCTTTTCCGCCTCCCTGCCACCTCAGGTAACCACTAATAAACTTTGGTCTGTATACATTTGCCTATTCTAGATATCTCATGTAAGTGAGATCATACAATATTTGTGCTTTTGTGATTGATTTACTTCACTCAGAGTAATGTTTTCAAGGTTCATCTATGCTGTAGCATGTATCAGAACTTCCTTTCTCTTTATGGCTATATGTATGTATGTACCACATTTTCTTTATCCACTCATCTGTCGATGGGCATTGATGTTGTTTCCACCTTTTAGTTATTGTGAACAGTGTTGCAGTGAACACTGATGGACACGTGTCTGTTTGTGTCACTGCTTTCAAGTCTCTTGTAACACATACTTAGGAATGGAATTGCACCTAGCAGCTCCTCAGGAAGAAAGACCTCGCAATCTGCTCCTGTAAAGGTTACAGCCTAGGAAACCCTATAAGGCAGTTCTACTCTGTCACATGTGTAGCTATGAGTTGCAACAGCCCACAGCCACAACAATGGTAGTTCTATGTTTAACTTTTTGAGAAACCACCAAACTGTTTTCCATAGTGGCTGTGCCATTTTGCATTCCCACCAGCAAAGGATAAGGATTCCAATTTCTCTACATTCTGACCAATACTTGTTGTTTTCCATTTTTTGTTTGTTTCTTTTTCAATCTTAACCTTCTTAATCGGAGTGAGGTGGTGTCTCACTCTGGTTTTGATTTGATCTCCCTAATGACTAATAGTGTTGAGCGTCTTTTCATGTGCTTACTGACCATTTGTATGTCATCTTTGGTGAAATGTCTATTCAAATCCTTTGCCTATTTTTTGATTGGATTGTTTGTCTTTTTCTTGTTAAAATGTAGGAGTTCTTTATATATTCTGAATATTAAACCTTGTCTGATATATGGTTCCCAAAAATTATCTCCCATTCTGTAGGTCATCTCTTTACTTTACTGATAAAGTCATTTGTTGAACAGAAGTTTTTAATTTTTATGAAGTCCAGTATATCTGTTTTGTCTTGCTAGTGTTTTGGTGTCATATGGTAGTGCTTTTGGCGTCATATGTAAGAACCCTTTGTTAAAAACCAAGTCCTAAAACCATACGCCCATGTTTTCTTCTAGGTGTTCCTTCAGATGTTTTAGATGTATATATTATTTTTCCTTCTTTTCCTTTTAATAGCTTGGAGATTCTGTATTCTAATTCTTTGCTACAAGTGGTTGTCATTATATTATTTAGCAAATATGCTTCTCTTTCTGATAAGAATTGCTAGCATATACAACCTTACCTTTACCACGCTCCTCCCATGATTTGTTTAAATAATACATTTTTTTTAAAAACACATATCTTCTGTTTTTAGAATAAGTTCTTAACATTGCATTCAAGTTTACAATCATTTTATCATGATTGTTTAGACAAGTTATTCTTTGTCATTTCTTAACTTTATTTTATATAAACCTTATCTTCCTAAATTTCTTGTTCTTTTGTTATTTTTCATATGGCTAGAACTTTCTGAAGTGCCTGTATTTTTTTTCCAGAGAAAATGGGAAGATGCTTTGTTTTCTAATTTGTTACATGTTCAAAATATAATACATAGGTTTAAAATCTTAGAGGCCCAGTCCTTTTTTCTCAGAGCTCTGCAATCATCTCTCAATTGTCTTCTGTTATATAATGCTGATAAGAAGTCAATGCCAGTAAGATTTTTTTTTTTTTTTTTGCTTTTTGAGTAATCTACATTTCTGTATGAAATCTTAAGGACTCTTTTTTAATCCTTAGAATTCGGTTCCATTGCCTGTTTGATTAATTTATCAATTTATCAATTTTTTTCCTTTGTTTATCATGCTTTTCCTGTTGTGTTTAAGAATGCTTCACCTAGCCCGAGGTCCCGAAGATTTCTTCTGTGTTTTCTTTAAAAAGTTTTATAGTTTTACATTTTACATTTAAGTTTATGATCCATTTTGAATTAATTTTTGTCCATGGCATGTGGTTTAGAACAAGGTTCCTTTTTTTTTTTAATTGGTCTATAACTATTCAATTTCTCCAGCACCATTTGTTGAAAAGACTATCCTTTCTCCATTGGATTGTATTTGCACCTTTGTCAGAAATCTGTTGGGCATATTGTGTGGATCTGTTTCTGAGTTCTCTATTCTGTTCCATTGATCAGTATTTCTATTTTTATGCTAATTCCAACTGTCTTGATTACTGTAGTATATAGTAAGTCTTAACATTAATTCCTCTAACCTTATTTAGTTTTTCATAATTGTTTCAGATATCTAAGTCTTTTGCATATGCATTTTAGAATAATATGTTCTTTATCTACAAAAAAATCTTGGTGGGATTTTGATCAGAATTGCATTAAACCCATAGATCAAATCTGTGGAGAAGTGACATCTTTATTGTGTTTAGTCTTCTAATCCATGAACAATAGTATATATCTCTGTTGATTTAGATCTTTGATTTTGTGCATCAGTTTTCTTTTCAGAGTACAGATCCTGTACATATTTTATTAGATTTACCCCTAAGTAATTTTTTGGAAAAATTTTAAATGGTATTATGGTTTTAATTTCAGCTTCCTCGTGTTCTTTGCTAGTACGTAGAAATACAATTGCTTTTTGTGTTGATTTTATATCCTAGTACCTTGCTGACCATAATTCCTTGCCTTTTTTTTTTTTTGAAGAGTCCAGGCCAGATTTTTTGTAGAAATTTTGGCATTCTCTGATTGTTTCCTCTTAGTCTTATTTAACTTGGTCCTCCACCCTCTGTATTTTCTGCAAACTGGAAGTTAGGTCTAATGACTTGGCTAAATTCAAGTTAAACTTCTTTGGGAAGAATGCTTTATAGGTGGTAGGTACTTCATAATGTACTTTATATTGCACTTGAGAGCATTTTTTAATTCCTTAAAATTTTTACTTGGTTAGGTATTTAATTTCTTAAGATAGAATATTTATTTTAAAATTTTTATTGACATTTTTTACAAATTATTTTTTCTGTAATTTATATTACAATAAAATAAGGAGGCCTTTTTTTTTCTTTTTTTGCTATTTTGCCTTGTAGAAACTCTTTCACTTTGAAAACTCACACTGCTAGTACTGTATATAAACCGTATGCTTTTAGGTAATACAATTTTTGTTTTATTTTAATTTTTAAGGTTTTACTTGGAAGAACCTCCAGGAACACAGAAGCTTTATTTGGGAAAAACTACCCCACCATCTAAAGTGGTCTATCTTGGAGATAAAGAACAATCTAACTGGACAAAAGAAGTACAAGGAATTTCAGAACAGTGAGTATCATAAAAAAAAAAATCTAATATCATAGAAATAGATTCTGATCTAATACACTTGTCCTTTAACTTAATTTCCACTTTACACAGTAATCACTCTGAATACTGGCTACCCCTTCATCTTGTGTTCTAAAGAAAATAATGAATTCGAGCTTAAAATAACACCTGGTTAATAGCAGTCGTAGCCTTGTCCAGTTTGTCACTAAAATACTTCATGAGGAAAATGAAAATACATAATCACTTAATACTAGGAATAACAGTTAATAAGTTGTCTGAATTTGGAAGTTAACGTCAATAACCATAAGACCTTTGAATTTCTTGGCCACATATAAGTAATGAAAACAGAGAAGAAGACCCTCCTTTTTTCCTTTCCACCTCAAAACCACATTCCCCTCAGTTCAGAAAGGCAAAGTCTGTACCAACCAAATAGTGGAGAAGCTGGCCCTCTTCAGAAGGCTGGTTTTTTAGTTCACCAGAGTGCTTTGTGGCCTATGCCCCCATCCTAATAGTACCTCTCTTTCTTCTTCTATCCACTAGAATTTCCAAAAACAAGGCAAAACAATAGAGACTGGCAGTGGCACCTAAAACAGTGTTATAAATGTATGTCCATCAGCCCTCCCGTTCAAATTGTAATAGGTAAATAGTTTAAATTGATAAACTGCTGGGAAATTCAGGGAAAATCTTCCTCTACAATTTTGGAACTAATACCAGTCTATATTATCCTTATTAAAAGATGAGTAAGCAGAGAAAATGTACAAAGACCATGAAAAACCATCCAGCATAAAAGAAGGAGATAGCTCTCAAGAGATAGAGGTGCAGCATATGTTTGCTTCCCAACAGTATAAATTAGATGCCTGCTCTTAGCTCCTGGCATACTAATTTTTCTGTTATAGCACATAAACAAAATCATAATTATAAATTTATTTGTCTGATAACTTTAATGACTCTCTCCTTATATAATATGTTCTATGAAGGCAGGGAACACATCTGTTTTTGTCACTACTGTTTTCTCATTCATTGCCTGGTGCCTTGGCACTTGGTAAATGTTCGTTTGTTTGAATGAATTGAGATTGTTTTAGTCGTGACTTTTGATTAAAAAAAGAAAAAATAGAAACTCTTTCAGAGTACACACATTAAGAGTTTAGTCATTTGTTCGTATATTCAACAGTTTATTGTTTACCTGCTAGGCACAGTAGTAGGCACTGTAGATACCGTAATAAATAAAAAAACACACAGTTCCTACCCTCATGAAACTTATAGCTGGTAGATGGGAGATAGACATTAATATCTTGCATGAATATATGATCAGACTGCAACGGTGATAACTGCTCTGAAGGAGAGGTGCTCTGCGACCTAGCTAGGGAGGGATATGAGGGCCGTAGTGGTTCAGTGGTAGAATTCTTGCCTTCCATGTGAGAGACCCACGTTCAATTCCCAGCCAGTGAACCTCGAGGGCAGCCACCGCTCATCTGTCAGTGGGGGCTTGCATGTTGTTGTGATGCTGAACAGGTTTAAGTGAAGCTTCCATATTAAGACAGACTAGGAAGAAAGCCCTGGTGATCTACTTCTGAAAATTAGCCAATAAAAACGCCAAACCAAAAAAAAATAAAAACCAGACCCGTTACAGTCAAGTTGATTCTGACTCATAGCAACCCTATAGAACAGAGTAGAACTGCCCCATAGGGTTTCCAAAGAGTGGCTAGTGGTTCGAACTGCTGACCTTTTGGTTAGCAGCCAAGCTCTTAACCACTCACCACCCAGGCTCTGTAAAAACCCATGGATCACATGTTATCATGTGGGTTGCCATGAGTCACAGGTTGATTTGATGGCAGCTAACAACAGCAACAGCAGGGAGGAATTTGCCTTAGTCAGAAAAAACTTTCCTGAGGTAATGTTGATTAAACTAAGATCTGAATGTGGAGTAGACATTAGGCAAAGAGTGAAAAGAGAACACGTTTCAGGATGAAGAAAGAGTTGCATACAAGTCCCTGTGGCAGGAGGAAAAGCAGCACGCGTAAGGACCGGATAATGGCCTCAGTGACCAGGGTGGAGAAAACAAGAGGAAATCTGACTGAGAAAGATGAGTCAACAAAGGAAAAGGAAGGAAGCAAACTGAGAGGAAGGAGAACAGCCGGGAGAGTGTTACTTCAGTAACTCAGAGAAAAAAAGTGTTTCAAGAGAAAGAGAATGACCATGTCAAACATTATGAAGAGGTGAAGCAAATCTATTTTGATTGAATGATGGGACTGAAAGCCCGACTAGAGTGAGTGGGGAAATGACTGGGAGTTAAAGAAAGGGAGACACGGTAAGAGTAGACCACTTCTTCAGAAGGTTTAGCTGTGAAGAGGATAGAGGGACCTTGACCCCTTATACTACCTAATCTTTCCAATCTGGATGGGTTTCTGTGATGGCAGCAAAGATCAAAGAGAACAATCAAAACAGCAGGATGGATGGAAATAACCTAAGTGCTGGATGGAACACAACAGATGAATGGATAAACAAAATGTGGTACATGCATACAGTGAAATACTATGCAGCCATCAAAAGTAATGAGTCCCGAAACATCTTATAATGTGGATGAATCTGGAAGACATTATGCTGAGTGAAATAAGTCAGTTACAAAAGGACAAGTATTGTATGACCACACTTTTATAAGAAGACAAGAATATATATATATATATACATACATACAGAGACCAGTGCTTATTTGTGGTTAGCAAAGGGAAGCACTCTCTAGATAGTAGACACTTGTTTCTTTTGTTAATGGGAAAGGTAGCATCAAATATTGGTAAAGTGCACACAGCTTGACCAAGGTAAATGATGTCACTAAGAAGTACATAAGAGAAAAAGGATGTTTTTTGTTAAAGGATATGACAAATATAATTCTGTAAAAACAACAACAACAACCAAAAAATATGCATGTGGTTACACAAATATGTATAAATATATATATATGTGTATGGGTATGAATATGTGGGTACATACATGTGTACTGATAGATGTATCTTTAGGCATACATACAGGTATATGTGTACATGCATGTGTATTCATATAATAAACCATGTAGGGGACATAGTTATGGATACTTCCTAGACGTAATCAAACACCTCGCAAGATTGGTTTTGTAGGTTCAAAGGCTTAGGACCAGAGTGTTGTGGGACAACTCAGTTAATTGGCATAATATAGTTAATAAATACATACAGATATATTTATAGAATAAGTATATTCATTTGTTTCTCGTTTTTCAAGTGATAAAAGTTTGAATCTTTCATACATTAACTACAAAAAAAGCCACAGCAGAAGGGTAGATAGAAAGTACGTGAATGTCTGTGGGCCCAGCTGTCCCACTCCCAATTGCATATGAAAGTTGTCCGGGCCCTGTGAAGACAGGCCAGAGTACATCTAGGAGCCCTTGTGCTGTGGGTCTGGGGGACACAGTGGGGGTCAGTCTGAGCTGAGTCCGGCTGACGGGGGCAGTGGTGGCTGAGACCCTCCAAGTATGGTGTGGGGAAGAAGGGAAACACATGCAGCAGGCCCATTCTTCAGGGGCTGAGTGTGGAGGGGGCAGGTGAGGGCTGGGGATGGGGCTGACCCTGGGGCATCCAGGGCTGAGTCCAAGCCTGCCCCAGCCCCAAGCTTGTAACACTGTGTGGTAGCAGCCTTGGGGGTGTCTCTGATGGCTCAGTCCTGGGCATGAATGGGATACACACCCAGCTGAGAGGCCCCAGGAACCACCCTGACAAAGGAGAAATTAAAAGGCCAGACACCAAACCTCTCCCTGCTCTTGATCAAGTAGTTAAGAGTTTTTAATCATTAATTGGTGCTGATTTTATCAAATGTTTCTTCTGCTTCTATCAAAATGATCATATGATTTCTTTTTTTTTTTTATTAATCTGGTAAATTACACTGATTGAATTTCCAAATTAATCTACCCCTGAATTCTTGGAATAAATCCTACTTGGTTATGATATATTATCCTTTCTATATATAACTGGATTTGATTTGTTATATTTTGTTTAGGATTTTTGCATCTACTTTCATGTGAGAGATTGGGCTGCGGTTTCTCTTTCTTGTAACATCTTTGTCAGGTATTGACATCACGATTACTGGTTGAGTAACTTTTGAGTGAAAGTGGTAGACAAAATCTCAATGAGTTTTTAGAATGCTACCCATATAAAAACCCACTGCTGTCTAATCGATTCCAACTCATGGCAACCCCATGTGTTACAGAGTAGAACTGCTTCATAGGGTTTTCTTGGCTGAAATCTTACGGAAGCAGAGTGCCAGGCCTGTCCTCCGTGGCATTGCTAGTTGAGTTCAAACTGCAAGCCTTTAGGTTAGTAGCTGAGTAGAAATCGTTTACACCACCCAAGGATCATGCCCAGAATGCTACATACCAAAAATTCACTGGAAAGCTTCTGTTTCTGGCTGACATGGCATAGCTTATTTCACACCAATGTTCTCGTCAAGAATAACATGATTAAAAAATATAAGCTGTTAAGAAAAAAACGTAATTATGTGTATGCCGTACATGTAATATATATTTATATATATATACACACACATAGAAATTAAAAATATGATTGCTAAAATGAGCTCAGTAGATTCTCCAGATAATAATACTGAAAGTTGAATCAGTGAATTAGAAGACCAAGTTGAGAGATTCCTTTAGCAAATGTATAAAAGCACAGAGAGATGAATGAATATGGTCAGCATTTCTAGTATCTATCTAGTAAGAGTTTTATGAAGAGAAAATGGAGAGGAAGTAGGAAAATATCCCTGAGGTTAAGAAGAGTAAATGCATGAAACTGAGAAAACATTTTAAAAGGAGAAAAATTAAGTGAAAAACTTAGCCTGCTCAGTATAAAAGGTCTCTATCAACCTAGAATAATTGAAACAGAAGGGTACTGGTACAAGATTAGAAAAATGTAACTATACAAGAACATCGAATCTAAAAAAGTTAACATGCACATTATAAAAACACAGTGCCATAATTTACC